CATGGCCTTGAGTACGCTGGGCACGCAGTCTGCCACTGAGCTACATCCCCAGCGCCACTGATTCTATTTTTCACCCAGTATGAGCTCTTCATTCATGGTATGTCAAGTGCCTTTAAATTGAAATACGGACATTTTGGGGATTATATCTGAGACTGTGGGTCTTATTTAAACTTTCTTTTTTCACTGGCTTTCTCTGACAGTGTTTTATTATTGCCGGCTAGGGTAGAAGTCTCGACTCAGCCTCCAGTGACATCAGAAGGTAGAGAGTTCTTTGTTACTGCTGAACAGAAGCAAAAGTCGCGATTGCCAGCTAGACTTCCACAGAAATCTCTCCAGCTAAGAAGAGAAAAGGTGTCTCAATACTGTGCCCCTCAAGGCTTCCAGGTGCAGTGCACTGGAGGAGGTAACCTCCTTATCAACACTTCCCTCCAAAACTCTCCTGGAATGTTTTTCTTAGGAACCAGAATTTAATTACTATACTATCTTGTTTAATGGTCACACTTTGTGTAGCTCTTAGATCTGTTTTGTCCTTTTTCTTGAGAATGTTTAGAGAAAAGATCCAGTGATTGTAAGTACATGGGAGGACAGGGGAGGAGAGGAACAGAGAGATGATGACAACAATGATAGAGCCAGAGAAATGAGAACTAGATCCTATGGCAAACATAACTTAAGAATCTACTAGAAACAAAGACATTTAGAAACTTATAATCTAACCCAAACCCTTTTATCCTTATAGACAAGGAAACTGTCCACAGAGATTACACAAGGTCATGAAGCCAACCAGTACTGTTGGTACCATCCTATCAGGCTGCCTCTTCCTGGCCTTGCTCTACTTTCCAAACAATGGAAACTGTGATCAGCTGTGTTATTTCTATTAGTAGTTCCTAGAAATGTGTCATTATAATTTGGAATTATATTACTTTACCTAGTCTGTGGATGATTACCTTAACATCTTGTTCCTAATATTTTTCTGGACCAATTTGAGGGAGACTTTTTTCTAACTGTTTGTTAGCCTAGTGCAAATGAAACCAACTGAGATAACAGTTGGGGAGGTAAGGAAAACAAACATTTTATTACATTCCTCTTAGTAGTCTTAATTATTCAACAATTCATCAGGATGACTTGGTATTAAAGAATTCATTTATTAATTTAGTTGACCTATAATTCAACATAATAACTATCTACTCTTTCAGGTGGGTGTTTCCCAAACATCTTTCATTTCACAATACTACTTCCACAAGTTTGGCCTGTTATATCTGAATATCACTTGTACTAATATTAATGTCTTTATACTGAATTAAAATGTACTCCTTTTGCATACTTAGTTTACTCTAAGCAATATCTATTAAATCACATGCTTGATATGCTAAATAAAATAATGACACAACTATTGCCAGGCCTAGTGGCTTGTCATCACATAACTCTAGCAGAATCACCGCAAGTTCAAGGCCAGCCTGAACTACACAGCAAGACCCTGTCTCAAAATAAATAAATCCTATTAGAACATGTCCATGGTCATTCCATATACACTTGTCTTATATGGTATTAGTGATATTATGACCACACTAATCTGATCTTGAGTGATAACATGATGCAAATAAAGAACAAATAACTGTTCTTAATACCTAACATGAGATGCTTATTATTCAGGTTTATAGTAATGAACCACATGTTTGGTCCCATCACCAATTTAAACAGACACGAACTTAGGAAGCCTAGGTTTTCAGGTTTTCACAAGAAATATATGAGACAATAATTACCTTTCCTCAGATATTATGATTGGCTAAGATGAATAAGGGCCAAGAAATTGCCATTTTAAGAGGCAGTCCAGGAAGCACTGGTACAGTAAGATACATTTTCAAAAACAGTAGATGGGGGCACAACATTTAAAATTACTCTAGTTTTTCAATAGGGTGATCTGGGTTCCAATCCCAAGTGTAACTGTCTAATCCTAAGCAATTTATTAAGGGTCTCAGTTTCCTCATCTGATAAATGATGACTACAGCAATAACCACATCATTGGGTGATTTTACGGGTTAAGTGGATGACGTGTCAAAAAATATAAATCCAATGAGCCTCTAGTGTGCTAGAGAATTGATGGTGATGACATGAGTCTACTCTCAGCAGCCAGCGGCTCACAAGACAACAAGAATTTCAAGTAAAATGCAAGTGATATGTTCCATATTAGTATCGGTTCCCATTTACTATCCCATTTGAGGTTAACTTATAATAATATAACCTCCAAGCTCAATGTGCACTTCAGATAAGACATAGTTATGTACTAGATAGTTTCTATCATTAACAACTAATGCTTGCACCTTTGGGGCCAAACTCATGCAATGGCTAACCTGCCAGCAAAGGTCTTGGAGGCTCATCTGTATTATTTACAAGGAGCATGCACAACTATTCTTGTGATTTAGAAACATTATCTATCTATCATCTATGTATCTATTCACTTATTTTTAAACCCCAGGCCTCACACATGCTAAGCAACTGCTCTATCATGGAGAGACATAGTCCTTTTTCAATTTTATTTTGAGACAGGGTCTAAGTTGTTCAGACTGGCCTCAAACCTGTGATCCTCCTGCCGTCTGGTGTAGGTGGGATTACAGACTTATGTCACTATATTTGGCATATTTTCAATATCAAAGAAAATCCCTTTCTTTGAAGAAAGCATAATAACTCACAAATTATAAACTCAATGCCAACTTTGCAGATTTGGTTACAGAGAAAATAAAACAAAGACAGTTATAAAACATGCCCTCCTATAATTCCTCTTCAAAGGTTTTAGCTACTACCAATGTAGGGACTTCAAGTTTAACTTCCAAAATAAAGAAAAGCCTTACTGTTTCTGAATACTGTCTGCTGAACCATTCTTACATGAGCTAATTCTGCTACCCACAATTTGTAAATGGACCGAGAGGTGACACGCGGCTGCCTCACCTTACAGTACAGGCTGAGTCTGCTCTGTTGCTGTAAAGGTTAGACACACAGGCAGCACGCAGTCTCCCCCAGAAGCCACAACACTCAGAGCTACCCATCCATAATGAAAACATCATGGTGCCCCCACAGATGTCCATGAGGATGATCAGCCCAAGGGCTCGGAGCTAGTTTCAACGCCTCCGTGTCCCTGAGTCTCCCCTTCATAGGGCAGGTACTCAGGGAACTGGGAGCAAAGGGACAATCAGGACAAGTGGCAGGCCACCCAGGCACCTGTGATGCAGCAAATCCTTCTCCCAGTGGGTAGTGTTTGCCAGGACATGGTGTGACGCCCAGGAGTCCCAGTTGCTTCTCTGCAGGCGAATCTAAGAGCCAGGGGCCAGGGGCCACTCTTCTAGTGGGCGGCTGATCCAGTTCCCACTCACTGTCAGCTGTGCGTGCCTGTGGCAGGCATAATCCACAGCATCTGCTGGTTGGAGAAGCAAGGGACAGCTCGGCAGCCAAATCTCAGCGGCACAGCCTCTCCGCCTCTTGAGTCAGTTTCTGTGCTGACTCCGTTAGTTGCTGAGGAGGAACTGAAATAAAAACCGCTCCATAAAGGAGTAGCTCTGGAGAATTAATTAGGACCTTCATAGCCGCTCTTGAGCTGTTTGTGAGATTTAATGTCTGCCAAGGATCAGGATTCCAGAAACTGTGAAGTGATAGTAGTCCAGGATACCAAAAGTGTTCCACACACGCCTATAAAAATCAGTCGTCTCATCCTCACAGACAGAAATACCTATGAAAAACTGGAACCTCCACTCAAGCAGACACCGTAACTGAAATGTAAACAAGGCTTCAGTTAGTGTACCTGTAATAGTCTATGAACAGTCGCACACAGTCAGTCTTTAGCCTGAACAACGATGGAGCAAGGGATTGTTTGCTTGTTTAGTAACCGAAGCAACAAGCAAGTGGTGAGTACCTATATTCCTGGACTGTGCTGGGAAACCAGTGGTGAGTACAAGAGTAGCAGTCGCCAGCAACTAGGACCGTATCACTTTCATCTTTATTTTGTCTTTTTTGAGACAGGGTTTCACTATGCAGTTCAGGCTGGCTTTGAGCTCCCTTTGTAACGCATGCTGGCCTCAAACTCACAGAGATCCTCCTGCCTCAAGCCTCCCAAGAGCTGGGATTATAGGTGTATGCCACCTCACCCAGCCACTCTTAACTTTAGTAATCTTTTTTGATGGTACAGGGTCTCACTACATTCAGACTCATAGCGATCCTCCTATCTCAGCCTCCCCAGGGCTGAGATTACAGGCATGCGCCAGCACACCTGGTTCGGGGGCCAGCCCAGCATGTGGCGCCAGAGATTCAATTCAGGACCTTGCACTTGCCAGGCAGGCACTTTTGCCTGTGAACTATCTCCCCAGCCCCACTCTTAACTTTAAAATAAGCAAGAATACAATGTTTAAAATAAGCAAGATATTTTTCACTCCAGTAAAGATGAAAAAACGTGGCTACCTATACAATATTCTTAAGTTCTTCAAGTGCTTCTACCTTCTAGTATCATGTGATCATTCTGAATACTCACAGGCAAGGCCTAAACCCAAAAACAAACTGTGAAGTTAGAGATACTGGACATCAAGATTTCTTCTTTCTGAAACACGGAATACTAAAAAAGAAAATACATGTTTCTTATTTTTTTTTTTTCACTGTATTTCATTGTGTTGCTCAGGCTGGCCTGGAACTCAAGATCCTCCTGCTTTAGCTCCTCAAGCAGCTGGGATTATAGGCACACAACAGCCTATTCAGCTATGTATTTCTTACAATAAAATGGAACTTGAATTTTAAAGAATGATCATAATCTAAAGACAGGTTTTTTCTTTCAACTATAAAACCATGGCCATATATACTAGGTACTGGTTAAAGTTCTATTCTAAATTTCAGATCAAACAATGTTTCCTTTCGCAAGCAAATAGCAGTTAAGCACTGATGGGCCAAAAGCTCCCCTGAGTAACTGCAAAGCCTCTTGGCTGCTTAATGTACTGAAAAGGAATGAAACGCTCAAGGTTGCTTACCTTGTACTCTCTGGACACATTCTCTGATGTCACTGAACCTGAAATCTGACTAGAAATTGTAGCAGCTATGAGCTGTTTACACCACTCAACATGTGACCCTGTAGGACTAAAAGAAATACTGTAATTAACACATTTTTAAAAACATAAACTCCTGGTGAGAAAAAGGAGAACTGAATTGGAATATATACATTTTATTAGATGCATGAACTTGTACTAAACTATTTGGTTCGCTTTATATTTAATATAAAAACAGAAATCCTGACTGAAAATGAGGAAGATTAGATCCCTGGTTCAATGTATTTCTTAAAGTTGAAAGGTTCCAGGGCAGGCAGTATAGCTCAGCAGACTAAAGTGTAAAGGTTCTAGGTGTTAGTTAAGCATGTTTTTCTCTAATATTTAATGGAAATTTATCCTATTACAATTATATGGAGGGCTCTTAATAGAAAATTCATTCTAATGTGCAACATTCATTTTATAGTATAATTTCCAAGCATTCAATCAATCTCAGGCTTGCATTTGAAATCTAGGATATAGTGTACTTTTGAGTGAACTGGATTCTTCATGGAGCAAACCTGACTGCAACTTTATGAAGAACAGAGGACGAAAATGGCATTTGTGTATAGTAAAATGCCACCTCCATTTTTGCGAATGCTTTGACAACTCAGGAAAGGTAACTGTGGTGTGACAAGAAGGCGGATCAGGGACTGGTCAGTGTGTCTTGAGATGAGAAACAGAGGCACAGAGGTGACGGCCCAGAGTCCCCGGATAATTGAGCTAAAGCCAGCTTGCTGGAGCTGGGACCTGCTTCTCTGAAAGCACGCAGCACACAGCCATGGTGCCTTCCGCTTTCACAGTGCTCGGAAGTATTCCAAGCATTCTCACACACAGTGTTGCCTGGCCTCAGTGACCTCTGACCCAGAGGAAGCTGCTACTCCCTCTGCTCTTCTGATAAGGATACCACGCTCTCCTTTGGGAACTGTATCTCTGTGGCTCTGGTGGGATTTTATGAGCTAATCCCTTCCTCCTCCCGAGCCCACTCCCACTGGCAGTTGAGTTTCCCAGGCTAGTAGGTCCCAGGTGTGTTCTCTACCCTGAGCTGCGTGCACCTCCCAGAGTTACTGCAACCAATCCCACCTACCCCCTTGAAGACCTGCAGAGGTAAAAAGCCAGGACGGACCAGCACTCGGGAGACTGAGGGAGGAGGATCCTTGCAAGTTCGAGACCAGCCTGGGCTACAAAGTGACCTCAAGGCCAGCCTGAACTGCAGCATAAGACCATGTATCAGAAACAAAACAAAAACAACAACAAAAAACACCCAGCCAGGGCAGAGAGATCAAGAGATGGCAAGTCCTGACAATGCGGTCGTATCCCTGGCCCCAGCAGTGCCTGTGGCCATCTCTCCCCATCTGGGGCTGTTACAGCAACCAAGACATCTCTGTGGCTTCAGCTCAACTGAGTGATTTTTGTCACTGCTTGCAACTAGAGGTGTCCTGGCCGGTGTTGTTTACACAAGGTGGTACTGTGAGTGCGCAGACCCGAGGGCTGGATTGGGGTCTTGCTTTTGTTACCAGCCACATGTTCTCACAGGACCACAGGGAGTCAGAGTACCGGAAAGTGGGGTGAGGGGCCCTCAGCTCTGTAGGCATGCCATGCCGCACCTGCAGAGCCAGGTCCACTGCAAAGCAAAGGGCATACAGGAGCCGGGGCATATGGCACAAGTGGGATGGAGACCACAGGCCCCTGACCTGTCTCCCTTCTCTTTGGCCTGTGCATGTGCCCTCTGCACTCCTGGGCATCAATAACCACTTGCCGGCCAGAGGTGTCCAGCTCTGCTTCTCTAAGCTGGATCCTCCCGGACCCTAGGCCCATAGCCCTCACAGCTGAGTGTTCCCAGGCTGGGCCCTCCTGCCTGCCCTATCACCCCCCTCCAAGAGTTGGGTCTCCAGCTGGGACCCTCCACCCTGAACCAGCCCTTTGACAGCTGCCTAGGGACATACAATAGCAGCTCACAACTGATATGCCAAAGCCTATTTCGTAACTCTGCTCTGCTTAGAGACCTGACCACCTCAGCAACACCCTTTCCCACAGCTGCGGATCTTGGAATCCTCCTTGCTTCCTCTTTCACACCCATGACTAAGCTTCAGTAAACCTTGTTGCCTTGACCCTGCAGGTCTTCTTCCAATTCTGTCTGGAATCTGACCACGTATCTTTTCCTCCACTCCATCTTTCTAGGCTAAGCCATCCTTTTCTCCCTTGGCCTACCATAGTAGCCTCTGCTGCGCATGCATACAGTGCCATGAGAACCATTACCAGATTACGTCACTTCTCTACCCCAGAGTCCTCAATGGCTCCCTTTGGCCTCAAGGCTTCCATCAGCCGTGTCCTTGACCTCTCTAACTTCACCGCATCCTTAGTGCCTCCTCACTGCCGACACTCTCCATCCCTAGCCCTGACACCTTCCCGCGCCAGGGCCTTGGCCCAGGCCTCTGCCTGGAACCCTATTCCCCCTCCCATCTATCTCTGCATGCCTCGATCCCTCACCTCCTTCAGGGCATTCATTCATCAACTGTCAACTGTCACTTTCCTCAGGCTTCTCCCCTCATCCTACCCAAACTTGCAACAGCCTCCCGAGGCACATACCCAACACCTCCTATCCGCTTTCCACTTCACCTGGTTTGCCCCTGGCACTTATCATCATCCACCAGACAACACACAGCACTTGTTTTCTGTCTTCTGCCATGAAACACACTCTCCAAAATCAGAGGTTTGTGTCTGCTCCCTGCTGCGCTCTCGGGCTCAGTGCAGCCCATGCCTGCCGTAGAGTGGGCACTCATATTTGCTAAACAAACGCCAGTGTGATGAAGCCCTGCGATTGCCTGCTGACCACACTCTCCACCTCGGGTGCGTCTGCCACACTCCTGTACAGCAATGGTTCCAGAAAGGTGCCTGACTGAAAGCCTTCCATGGGATCAGAGTGGGGGCAACCATATCCTTTCTCATCCAAACCAGAATACTGAAGGAGCACTGAAGGCTGATGTCGCTAATAGCCACACTGACTCAACGGGTTAACCAGGATTAGCCTGGGCAAAGCAGCCTGTAGGACCCACCCTGCTGGTAGCTAAGGAGGGAAAATATGCAGATTTCTGGGCTCTGTCAACGCAGAGGTGGAAGGACCAGATTTAGGGTGGGGCCCAGGGCAGCCATGGAGAGGGTTTTACGCAGAGCCACACCCTGAGAAGTCCCCGCCAAGGGGGTAATGGCCCAATTCCCCAGGGCAGCGGTCGGCCCGCAGATACCAGGCCTCCCTCCCCTCTTATTGCTCCCCTAGAGCACCCATGGCTCAGCATATTGTGCCCTCAGGGCTGTCCAAGCCCCCTAACTTCTACTCATTTTTCATCATTCAGTTCAAATGTCAAGCTTCTTCACAGGCTCTTGGCTCCCTGCACTCCCTGCACTCCCACCACCACAAATACATCAAGTACCCTGGCTCCCCGGACTCACAACCCAATGATCACTCCCAGTCCTTGGCTCTCCCCTGAACCTCTTGAATGAGTATCCTGGGAGTGGGGCCACTTGTAGCTCTTCAAAAGTAAAAGGCAATCAGAATATGGGACATATCTTGGGGAGCTATATTCAGGGCTTTTTCCAGCTTCTCAGATGATTCAGCCGCACACCCCATCCCAAGTAAACTGTTCACCTCTAGTGTAGCACTTAACACAACCAACTTCAGTTGTTGGCTTAATTTGTATCCACTCCAAAACGGGAAGCAGAGAGCCAAGCCATCTTATATGCTCTGATTTGTCAAGGCCTCCATAATGCTGAGTATCTACAGAAGAGAGTAGTCCTCACTGTCGCAAGTGCTGGCTTCCCAGGAGATAACTACTAAAACACACTGTGATTACACACGCTGGGAAAGCCAGGGCGTGTTTCTTGTTCCTGTGCCTTTGGAAACTCAAAAAACTTCAGCACACTGGTGTGACTAAGATAGGCAGGATTGGACATCTGACACCCCTGAGCTGCATCTCGGCAGTGCCTGCTGCCTCAATGTGCTCCACCTTTGGGGAAGTGGCGAGGATGCGAGTTGTCCTCAGAAGGCGGGTGGGTGCACCTTCCTGGCCAGAGAGCTGTTTCAGGCTTCTGACTTCTTCAGTTCTGCTAACTGTGTCAAGCGGTGGGCTCAGGGGTTCAAGAGCACAATGAAGCCTCCCGTCAAAGCGTGCAGAACTCAAAGTAAACGGTTCTGTACTCTTGCCTCCCGGGCAGTCTCAAAGTTTTTCATCCTGACCTTTTCCATCAGGGCATCCGGCCTCCATCTGCTGCGGCTCCCACTGCCACGGGGTCCGGGATCCAGTCCCCCGTCGCCGCCCCGCTCCCGTCCCCAAACACCCTCAAGCAGCGCTAGCGGGACGTGGTCTTAGGGCCACGCTGAAGAGCCCAGGTGAAGCTGCCCTACGGGGCAGGTCCGAGGAGCCGCCGAGGAGCAGGAGGCGGCGGCCCCGAAGCGGTCTGACAGCTGCACCGAGGCGGAAGGGAGTCAGGTGCACAGTCCGGCAGATCCGAGGGCGGCGCGGGCTGGGAAGTGGGAGATGGGGCGGGCGGGGCCCCGAGCCGGGCCGCAGAAGCCGTCGCGGCCCCGGCCCTGCTTACCTGTCCAGGGTCTCCATGCTGGGCTGCCGGGAGCCGGCGACGGCGCTGCCCGCCGCCCGAGGAGGCCTCCTGCTGCCCGCCGGCCCC